GAGGCGGCGCGCGGGCTCCCGGCTCCGCACCCGCGCACAGGCTGCACCCGGGCTCCCGCGGCCGAGGCGGCTGCGCGGTGCCTGGCAGGAAGCTGCGGAGCCCGGAAGAGCCCGCGCTGCCACCAACACGTTGCACGGAGTCATTCGACGGGCTGCGGCCCCACGTGGGCGGGGCAGGCCTGGCCAGGCGCGGGCTGCGCTCCGCCCGCCTCGGTGCCCCCAGGTCCCCCAAGGGACTTGGAGCCGGGTGGAGGAGCAGTAGCTGGCGCACTCTCCGGACACTGTGCCGCTCGTGTCACGTGTGTTATTTCTTTCATTTAATCATGCAACCCCCTTAGGAAACCGGTATTCTGTTAGCCTCATTTAATAGCTGAATTAGCACACCAAGAGCCAGCTCTGGGCAACCCGGAGCATATCAGACTAAGAATCAAAGACTGCAGGACATGGAGGTAAACCCTCGTTTCACAGAGGGGGAAACTGAGGCTCCGGGCTCTGTGCAATGCATTTCAGTGTCCCCCCGCCGTTACCCTCCATCTCCCCAAGTCTTCCCAAAGTTCCCAGGCGCTTTGTGCCTCTGCATACGCGCTGGACTGGATGCGTATCTCTCCATGTGCGCCCTGGCTGTAGAACAGCACTTGGGAGGATTAACACCTCCCACTCAGGCTGAACCAGGTTTCAAACTCCAAGGAGTAACTAGCCTGCTGCCCCTGGTTTGTAAACTAACTGAGGCCCAGGTGGAGAAAGACAACTGTGGAGGTTTTAGTGGGAGAACAAAAAGCGGGGGCTGCTGGAGAGCTTTCCATGAGCTCCTGCCTTTCCGAGCCTCAGGGCTCCCCCTTGCAGGGAGGATCCGTCCTGGAGGAAGTCCCCCGGCATGGCTGAACACAGCAAGGGCCCAGGGACCTTAAACAGCTAACTTCTCGTCCTGCTAGAAGAGACCGACAAATAGAGCAATGTATCCGTTGTCTGTTGCTGCATAACACAGTAGCATAATAAATTACCCAATATTTATCCACTTAAAATGATACGTGTGTGACTGCAGAATGTGGATCAGAACAGTAGGCTGGGTCCTCTGCTTCAGGGTGCCTCCCAGGACTACCATCAAGGTGTCAGTCTCAGCAGGCCCCCTCTAAGGGCTCCGCTTGGAAAGGGCCCACTCCAAGCTCCCTCAGCTTTTGCTGGCAGACTTGCTCCTTGCAGCCTGTTGGGCCAGAGCCTCCATCCCTATAGGCTGTTGTTGAAGTTGCCCTTGGCTGCTGTCATGTGAGCCTTTCCAGCGTAGCAGCTTGCATCATCAAAGCATTCAAGCCAAGATGGCAACAGAGATTCTGCGAGCAAGACAGAGGTCATGATTTTATCAAACCTAATCACCCATGTGAACTTCCCTCACCTTTGCCCTATTCTGTTAGTAGAAGCATGTCACAGGTTTTGTCCACACTCGAGAAGAGGGGATGGTACAGTAGTGTGAATATCAGGTAGTGGGAACCTTGGGCTCATCTGAGAAACTGCCTGCCACAAGTAGTGTGACACATTCTGATTCGAGGCGGGAGTGAGCATCACACTGTCCGGAGAAATCACCCAGAAAATCCGATCTGAAATGCATGTTGAATACCAAGCCTGCCCCAAGGGATGACCAACAGAAATGGGTGACCTTGATATAGGAGGGAGGGCAGGGCAAAGCTGGCTGGAGAGAGGCGGGACCTGTCTATTGAAGATCCCAGGGCAGAGCTGACTGCAGAAGGGGGGCTGCCCATTTCAAGACCCCAGGTGGAGCCAGAAGATTCTCAGGACCTCCTGTGTGGGGCCTCTAGGGCTCCCATGAGATGTGGGCAGCATGAAAGAAAGGAAAGGCCATGAGGAGCTTGCTGTTGCAACTTCACAGTCCCGTACCCTGGGTCTCCCAGACCAGGGTCTACTTTTATTTTTGCTCTTTTTCTCTTTTCCTCTTTTGTTTGGCCCAAGTTTGCTCTGCAGAAGCAGTTCTTCCCTTACCCCTTCATCTCTCACCTTTGAAATAGATTTTTGGCACTGTTGTTGGCTTCTCTCATCCAATTCTTTGTTCCAGGCAAGAAGGACCGGAAAACTTTTGACTGGTGAGCCATTTTTAAAGGAACTACCTGACAGCAGCATGATGAAGGTCTCCTCCAACTCTGAAATCCCACTTTATGGTAGGTTAAAAAGGTTACACTGGTCCAGAGTCAGCATTATCGTATCGTCATGACGTCATCATGTAAAGGAAATTCCTTGAAGAACAGCCTTGGATATCCATGATTTTACAGCCCTGTTCTCTAAGGCATAAACTTGAAGTGGGATGCAGCCCAGAGGTGGAGCGCTGGCCAGCACCCACACGGCCCTGGGTTCAGTGTCCAGCAAGACAGGAAAAAAAGTCCTGCATGGTACAGAAAGGGACTCTGAGCTTCAGAGCCTCTTGTCCAGGATGAGCGGTTTTGACCACTGAGTTGCCTTGGCCAAGGACTTAACCACTGAATAGTGTTTTTTTAGTATCTAGAATAGGGACAATAATACCTAGCATAATAAGCATTAATAGAAGGGAGAAATATCAGTGCCTTTTTCCTTTGCTACAATACATGGACTTGTGTGATTATTTAGCATTAACACCAAGAATACAGAAAGTACTTAATAAAGGTTAATTAGTTTAGTAAATGAAACTTTAGAATCTTTCATTCTTAAATCATTGCTTACTTATAAATTGTCCTCTATCAGTGCTCCTTAAACATTTTGATTCAAATAGCCATAATCACGGGCCTTTTTAACATGGAACATTGATAACAGGCAGCCACAACTGACTATTGATTTCAGAAGGGGGCGCTATTGGGAATATGTTCGCTTGCTTCTAGAACCACTATAGCTATGGCACAAGTTCTGTAAGTGTGTTTGGAGGGGATTGGGGCGCAGCTCAGTGGTAGGGTGCTTGCCTAACATGTGTGAGGTCCTGGGTCCAATCCCCAGGACTGCTAATAATAACAATAAGAATAAGGCAAGATTTAAACCAAAGACTTCTTGGGAAATATTTAAGCAAAGAGCCAAGGTTCAAATTCTGGCCCTCATGTGTCTCAAATGAACGGAAAAGGTTAGTTAAAAGAAGAAAAATTTTGAGTGTGCACTGGGGGCCCTGAGACCTTTTCAAGCAATCTTCAAAGTGAAAACTAGTTTCATTATGATGCTAAGCATGTCATTTGCCTTTTTCTCGTGTTGACATATGCACCTATGGTGCAAAAGCAATGGTGAGAAAAACATGCCTAAGTCATGCACAAGTCAAGGCGAGTCACTCATAATAATTGTATTCTCTGCTACCATGCACTATGGGGACAAAAAGAGCCAATTTCACTTTGGAATTCCCTTAAGGTAGCCATGACATTAGGAAATCCTGACTCTCGAGAGCGGAACATTTTAATGCCATCTGTGGTGAAACAGGAAGGATGAAATAAATCACTTCTGGTACACATGGAGTCTGATGATTGGCTCAAGAGAAAGCAAGTGTACAAAAGAGAAAAAGAAAAGCAAGTCTGCCATTTGTATTACTGCAGACAGAACTACTGAACTGGCCGCTTTTTCATGGAATGGTGTTTTTAATCAAAAGGATGACCGACAAACTTCACACCAGGCCGTTGGCAGCATCTTCACAAAAATGAACAAAGCAAGCCTGTCACTTCAAGAACACCAACGGACAACAATGTAGCCCGTGACAAAACTCAAACCTTTGAGTGAAAGCTTGGATTTTTAGGAAACTTGTCAATTAAGACAGTCTTCTATTGTGAGTGTGACAGTATCTCAATAATTTGAAACTTTTCTGATAAGCTTGGTGGTGATACTTTCAAAATGTAAGATTTTTTTATATTTAATAATGAAATGTGTCAAAATGTAGAAGATCTGCACAAATTAGCAGTCACATTTTTCAAATGGCCTATGTCAAGGTTGTGAAATCATTTCTGAGTAAAAATCCATCCAAAGAGCGAGTCAGACAAGTAGATTTTGATGAAGCAAAGTGTAAAACTTTGATCACTATGGCTTCATTTTTGACATTGCAACTAATTGTTAAGAAACTACTAATTATAGCCAGCACTCATAGAACCTAAACCAGGAGGATCTCAACTTCAACTCCAGCCTGGGCATCTTAGTGACTTAGACCCTGTCTCACAATAAAAAATAAAAAGATCTGGGGGTGTAGCTCAGTGTAAAGGCCCTGAGTTCAATCCCCAGTGCCAAGAACAGAAGAAATTACAAACTGTGAGTTTTGCTGTTATACCAAAGAGTAGAGCTATTTGAAAACAGCTATTAAAATTTTCCTCCCTTTCCTGACTAATTTGTATCAGAGTAAATTTTCTCGTTATTCTTGTTGTTCCAAAATAATAATAGTTCACAACAGATTGAATGCAAAAGGAGATATGAGGATCCAGCTATTCTCTATTAATCTAGAGATAAAAAGATATTTGAAAAAAAATTGTCAAACAAAGCCATACTTCTAATTTTTATCTTTCAGAAAATTAATTATTTTTCCTTTAAAATGTTATTGATGTTGGCCAGCAATGGTGACCCACATCTGTAACCCCCCACTGGAGAGGGTGAGGCAGGAGCATTGCTGTGCGTTCAAGGCCAGCCAGGGCTACATAGTGAGTCCAAGGTCAGTTTAGAATATATAGTATGACCCTGTCTCAAAAAACAACAACAAAAAAGTTATTGATGTTAACTTGTCAGTGTTGTATAAGTATGTTAACATATTTAATGAACTAATAGATATTTCAAAGACGTCTATGTTTTAGTATCTAATGCAGTAAACATCAGTATGTACAACCCCCTGAATCAAAAGCTCTTTATGGTCCTCAGTATTTCTTAAGAGTGAAAAGGGTTCCTGAAACCAAAAAGTTTTTGAGAAATATTGATCTTAGAAAACCAGGCTGGAGTGAGCAGAGCAAATCAATAAGGATACTTTCTGCTGTAAGAAATAGAAAGCTCCACTTGAACTGACTTCAATAATCCTGAAAACCTCTTCTGTCACATAAAGGAAGTATCCGAGTTGATTGTTCAGCCGCTACATGATGCCAAAGACCTGAGATCTTTCCATCCCTCCACTCTGCATCCAGAATATTGAAGGAGGGCCTCTTGGTCATGAAAGACCTGCAGAGGCAGTTATGCTTTCTTGTTCACAAATAGCCAGTGAAAGAGAAAAGTACTTTTTCCAACTGTGGAATGGAAACCTTCTGTTATGGCTGCCCCCCACCCAAACCTCATGTGGCCATAGGTGGGGCTTTTCAGAGGTGGCTGGATCTAGGGCATGTGATACTGGGGTTAAGGGTGTGATACTGGGACTAAGAGTACATGGTTATTAAATTAGTCCACTGATTGGTTTAGAATGGTTCTGGATGTAGATAATGGAAAGGCCCACCCCGGGTATGGATGGCAGCACCCAAAAGGCTGGTAGCTTGGATGGCACAGAAGGGAGAGGCAGGCTTGCTGCTTTGGCTTGCTGTTACTGCCTCATAGTCTCCTGCATGCCCTGCCATGGACTGTTTCTCCTCTGGTGCTTGTCATGCCACTCTGCCTTGGAGCCAGCTGACTATGGACTGAAACCGCTACAAAATGTGAGCCAAA